ACGTTGTAGACTCTTATTTATTATTGCATATGTGCAATTTATATTATTTATTTAATTTAAGTGCAATTAATAAGTTATTCAGAATGTCACATGCTTGTATGAAAGCAGTACAAAAGCTTTGTATGATTTTTGGCTCAACAAAATTTTATTTTTTATCTGATTTGACTTGCTAAAATGCTTCCAATTGTTGTATAAATAAATATTATTGGGAGTAAATTAATCGTGAATCATTACAAATATTTTGCTTTAAAAGTACAACGCAGTCGCTGATAAAATTCTGTATTGGAAAAAATGTATTCATCAAGATGCATTGATAATCGTCTTATAATCGAATCGCAGTCGTCAGAATCGTAAATGCCCAGAGATTCCCACCCCTAATGTGTGTGCGTGTTTTCTACTTACGGAGTTGTAGAAGAAGAGGCCACAGCTTCTTCATCATCACCAATATCTTCAGAAAAGTGCCTAACAAAAAAGTTGTGTTAATGTTAAAACACTTCATGCATCACTCAATATAATAGGATAAAAATGGCTGATTGATTAAAACTATAAATGTTTTACAATTAATTTGGAAATTATGCCACATACGTTTAAATAGTATAAGAAATGATCTGTAACTTTAGCTGGTAATTAGCTCTTTAACTTAGCAAGCTAGCTTCTAGCACGTTTTGTTAATACTTACTTTCGTTTACGTCTTCTCTCTGTTCTTTCTGGAACAGGTGCTTCGTCGTCAACGAGGTACCTTTTGTAACGTAATGGATCCATATGTACTACTTTTCTTTAAAGGCGTCTTATTTCCTTTACGTTATTTACCGTTATACTTGCAGGCTTTTCTCCGCTCTGCTGCTACCTTCTTCTTCTTCTTCTTATGGGATTTTATGGCGGTTGGCAGACTTGTGAATTGTGCATTACCGCCACCAACTGATATGGAGTAAAGCAAGAAAACAGGAAACGATTCACCCCCCCCCCCCCCCCCCCCCAAAAAAAAAAAAAAAAAAAAAAAACCTGTGTAACTTAAACCAACATAATACTAAATCACATTTGCCCATATAATTTTAATTTACTCTAGGTCATCTTAACTCTGACAGTTTCTGATGGTCCCATCGGTCCTCCCATCATACTTCCAACCATCTCCCAGTTCAAATCTTTAATGTCCAGATATTTTTCTGCAGCCTTCACTATTATTTTGATTTTTTCCGTTTTTGTTGTTGTCTGTGCAGTACAATTAATCACTTCTACCATGAAAAGAACAAAATTTGTCTTTTTAACAATAAGTGAGTCTTCATCAATTTTTAGAGATTTCTCTAGAGGTTTGGAATTTGCCGTGTGTTGAACTGTAGGTTTGGGTTTTTCTGACTGAGATGGGATCCTTTTTGCAGCTTCAGCGTAGGTTATTCCGAGCTCAAATTTCATTTTTTTAATTTCCTCAGACCTTTTGCTTGCTTCACAGCCGCGATAGGCAGCAGTATGTTCTCCACCACAATTACAGCATTTTATTTTAGCTTCTTTTCCACATTTTCCGTACTCATGTTCTCCTGCACACCTTCCACACCTCTGTTTCCCTTTACAAACTGCTGCAATGTGACCGAATTTTTGGCATTTGAAACATCTCAATGGTGGAGGATTGTAGATTTTGACATTATAGCTTATGTAACCGATGAATACTTTGCTTGGTAATTGCTCTACTTCGAATTTAATTAGCACAGATAAACTGTCAGATCTTTCTCCGTTTCTTGTTGTTTTTAACCGTTTTACTTCTTTTACTTTTGCACCGCTTATGTTTTCCAGAATCTCTTTTTCAGAAATTTTTAGAGGAACTCCTCCAATGACTCCCCTGCTGATCTTTTTGTTCTCCATTAAGCTGCACTGAACTCTTATCCCGTCAATTTTGTTGATCCGTATTGCTTTGCCTTGCTGGGCGCTGTCTCTGCAGTTAATTAGCAGGTCTCCACTGTACAGAATTCTGGCACCTTTGACTTCTCCGACAAGTTTATTGATGGTTTTTGTTAAGTGAACCGGATTCCAATTTGTAAAAGAGTCTGCCTGATTAACGACTTTGAATATGACTTTGAATTCATTCTGTTGTGCTGTGGAATGTATGGAATGATCATCACTGGATTGTTCTGAACTAGATTCCCCTTGAACTGATCTCTGTTTTTTCCGCTTTTTCTCATTTTTTGATGTTGCTATCTTCCAACCTTCATTGTCACTATTTCCCTCTTCCATCCCACAAGAATCGCTTCCTGTTTCCTCACTACTCACGGCCCAAGACATTTCTCCATAAGCAGCTTCAAAACACGCGCCATGCACCAAACGACCATCCACATGCAATCCTCGACACCTCTTCTTCTTCTTCCCCTCGTCGGTTTATTCACGGTGACGTACAACTTTTGGTGCGCTTTACCGCCACCCCCTGCTGCTACCTTCTTCTTCTTCTGTTGTTTTATGGCGGATTGGCAGGCCAACGTAAAAAGCGCATTTCCGCCACCTACTGATCTGGAGTGTGGAGTGCACAATTTTGGAAGACTGCGCTATACCCAAAAGAAAAAAAGAAAAAAAAAAGAATCCTATAACTAAATCCTATTAATTGTTCCTGTATCTTTTAGATATTTGAATAATATTTCATTAACTCTTGTTTGTCTTATCTCGTTTCCTAACAATGCTTTTATTGAATTCCCATTAATCCCTATTTATCTCAACTCTTGTATGAACTTCACTTTCTCCCTTACATACGCATTACACTCAAAAATAATATGTTGTACTGTTTCTGGATCTCCACATTTATCACAATTTCCTGTTTCATGTTTCCCTATTTTAAAAAGACTGTAGTTTAATGCTGTGTGACCTATTCTTAGCCTTGATAATTATATCTTTTTTCCTATTTCCATATCTTTTCCTCTCCTTTCCAACTTTTGAATCTGATATAAATATCTTCATTTTGACTCATTATTCCATATCGTTTGCCATTTCTTTCGAGTTTCAATTGTTATCAATATTTTAATTTCTGATTTACTTAAAAATACATTCATTTCTATTTGCTGATGATTTAATGCTTTCTTTGCAAGCTTGTCCGCTTTCTCATTTCCATCTACACCCACATGTGCTGGCACCCAGAGAAAGTATACTAGTATTTTTAACTGCCTTATTCTAAATAGACTTTGCAATACTTCAAATATTAAATCTTGCCTAGTTTCAGATTTTCCACTTAGAAGACTATTTAGCGTAGCCATTGAGTCTGTACATATTACAGTTCTTAGTGGTTGAACTTCTTCGATCCACTGTAGTGCTAATATGATAGCTAATACTTCAGTTGTAAATACTGACACATGATTAGATATTCTTTTTGCAATTTTTATTTTGAATGCCTGATTTTGTATAACTTCTATCTTATTAAGTAAGGTTTTATTCGCAGAGCTATAAACTATACTACCATAATCTATGTTTGACCTAATCACTGCATAATACATTCTCTTCAAAGACTGACAGCTTGCTCCCCAATCAGCTTGCTGCTACCTTCTTGTGCTGCTACCTTCTTCTGAAGCTACCTTCTTCTTCTTCTTCTTCTTCTTCTTCTTCTTCTTCTTTACGTTTTATGGCAGTTTGCAGCCATAACTTTTGAAGGTGCATACCTATACTATGATATATCCCTATATTTTTCAGGGACTGTACAACTGCTGTCTGCGTATCCTTAAGCCCAGGGCTGTCAAACTCATTTTAGCTCAGGGGCACTGTCTATGTCGACACTGGCATGGGAGCTGGTTGGTGTGGCTTGGGAAAGGGAAGTTTAAGGTCCCCTGCTGGACCTGCTGCCCCCTGCGATTATGGATAAATGGATGAGAATGGATGGATGGATATACAAAATGTTTGTTTTTAAAACATTTAATCAAATAATGTGATATCTTTCATTTTACAGGGGAAAAAAATCCAAACTATATTGATATTATGATCATTACTTCAACCCTGTTATCATTTTCAACCCTGTTATGCTGAGTTCAACCCTGTTATTTGATAGTTTTTAAATAATATTTTTGTTATAAAAAGACAAATTAGATCAATGTTTGTTTTGCTGTGTGTAGAATTTACAGGACAGTTGGAAAAAACATGAAAGCCTGATTAAATCCTAATGCATATTTTTAATTCATATTTTTTGAAAATATATGAAAACCAAGATACTGTTTTCATGACCTGATTTGGTATTCAAATGGTGGGTATTTAAAAATAAAATTCTACATGCAATAAATTATATCAAACAAGGGACATGTCATTAAAAACCTTCTACATGAATGTACTTGAAAATCTTTTAAATTCATATTCACACAGGGTCCAACTTGTCTGTGACGGGGTTGAACTCAAAAACAATTTTCACTAAGAAAAAACACTAAATAACGATTAGAATTTCATGCCTGAGGTGGGAAAACATATTTTCTAAAAGGTTTGACTAATCCACTATCACATGAAAAGATCAGAAATATAACTATTTGATTTAAAAAAAAAAAAAGAAAAAAAAAAAAGAATGAGGCCAAGGGCCCAATTCAGAGAATCACCCCAATGGGCTCTATGCACAGCTCCACTACTTCCTGAATTTAAGGCAGCTCCTTTGTTTCCTGTCTTTCATTACTGGACGAACTGATTAATCCAGGTGTGTCTGGCCAGTTACTTAGGTCATACACACCTGGATTAATCAGTGCATCCAATCATGAAAGACAGGAAACAAAGGAGCTGCATTAAATTCAGGAAGTAGTGGAGCTGTGCATAGAGCCTATTGACCGCTACGGCTTCACGTAGTTTCATGACGTCATCATCCACTTCATCTGATTTTGCGCGGAAAGATAGCGGTTGGGTGCAATAATGGCGATATCAGCGGGAGGGCTCCGTTATGTTCTTCTAGAATGGACTGAGGGTGAGGACGGAGGGGCGCATAGTATTTTGCCTATCGACTGTGTCCGAAATTTTTCATTTAAAGAATTTCTTAAGAGGAAGGAAAAAACTGAGAAGCTGGTGGAATGGAGAAAAGGCCGCCAACCGTGGTGCACCGAGCCAGAATTATTGAAGTGGCAAGTAAGTTAAGCTAACTTCATCTGATGTTATGTAGTTAACGTTATATGACTATACAATATTAAATGGCTTTGCTCGCACTTGAAAAAGTGTAAAATGGATCTTGCTATGCCGGCTTGCAAGGCTCATATGTGAGCTAACATTAACATTACTTAATTTGCTAATGTTAGCTTACTCCAGTTGGGAGTTAAAGTACTTCTTGATTCTGAGATCATACAAGTTGCTATATATTAGAAAGTTCATATATCAATATGACCTGAGTAAAAAAAAAATAAAAAATTTCGATGACAATTTGGATTTTTTAGGCTTTTTAGCTCAAGCCTCCTTAAAAAATTTCGCCGCCGTGTCACGTGACCGATGACGTAGTTCGTTGACAAGCGTTGATCTGTTTACATGGCAACACGTTACTTCCTACTTGCAAAACTACCTTTTCTTAAACAAAAATAGACGGATAAAACATGGTTAAAATTAGGGCTGCAACTTACGATTATTTTAAAAATCGATGAATCGGCCGATTATTTTTTCGATTAATCGATGAATCGGACAAAAAATATTTTTTATATTAACCTCTTTATTCCAAAATAAACATTTTAGACAGAACAAACAAGCACACAAGTACAGGTTGCTCATTAACTGTACTGGTGCAATATGAAAAATAAATGTTTGTGTTAAAACTACGCAAACTTACATGAGAAATGTAGCTGTACATCCACTAAATATAGGGTACTTTGTTTCATAAAGCGCAAAAAGAGACAGGCATTTTTGTTTTTTAAAGCCCCTAAGGGGTTCAAACAATAGGCCCCCCCATTTCAACGAATGAGTTTTTTTTTAGACTAGAAGAGTTCTGCCTTTTAAGACAGGAAAGTATAGCAGTTAAAGTTGCTACTTGAGAAAATACTGAACCATAGAGATAAAAATAGCCCTGTGGTTCAAATTATAAATTGTATTTGGAATAAAAATGAGAGAACTAGGGGTGCTAAAAAACACATCCTCCAAAGACAGATATTTACATGGGAATGTGGCAGATAATTAATTGACATATTACTGATCTTTCTGGATTTTATTATGCTTTACTTCCATAAATTGCAGGATCTTCTTTACTTTATCTTTGCCAGAAGATTTAAACTTTAAAAGCCTTGCCCTCATAATTTGCAAGTTAATTTATGTATAAAGAAAATATAAACGCTGCTTAAGCTAATTCAAATGAAATTAAAAGTAAAATAAGTAGCCAACCTTATCACTGTCTGTAACCTACTAACACGGTAAGGAAAGCATCAGATGAGCTACCTGAGAAACTGTCTGGCAGAACCACGATTATAAAGCCCGATTCCAGCCCATTTCGTTTAATCTTCTTAAATATGTTTTATTATTATATAGTCGAATCGTAACAGAAGCTTGCGCTGTATTTCATGTTAAAATCATCACTTTGTGAATCCACATGTGAACTTGTCATTGTGTCCTCCATTGCACTCTATGTAGCTTAGCTGGAGCTAAGTCAACGAACTATGTCAATGTACCACGTGACCCAGATGTGGATTTTCCGCCTAGCGGTCGCCACGGGGCACTTTTTAGTCCAAAAAAATATCTTCACCAGCGCAATCCCGATCTTAATGCCACATTTTCTGAAAATAAGGTCACAAATGCATGTTTTTCCAAGTTGGTCGATTTTAGAAAAGTAGTCAAGAAGTACTTTTTAATGTTTGATTTGGTAACGTTAAACTGATTAGACACGTTTGCAGTTCATGAAAACGTTTCTATTCTTTGCACCAGAATTTGAAAAAACTCTCAAAATCAAACTGCGTGAGATCGAGATGGAGAAAGAAGACACACAAGGGCAAACAAAACGTCCTCACATCCCAAATTCTAAGTACAGTGACCAGCAGGGGCTAACTGAGAAGGCTTCAAAGAAAAAGGTAACATAAACTGACTTCACCAATTGGTGCTATGCTTAAAGTTATCTCCCCCTCTCTCTCTTGTTCCTTAATGTGTATGCATGTGTGTAGGTTTGTAATTGTCTTATCTATGATGATTTCATGTGCTTTGTTGACAAGATGATCAAGTGCAAGGTCATGTAACATAAGTTAACATAAGAGTTGGGATAAAAGTCAGTCCGTCTCTCTGTCACTCAAGGTTGACAATCAAAAGGGAGGGGCTTCCAAATCAAAGCACCAGGAGGGTGAGAAGCAGGAGGGTCATGACATACACTATATTGCCAAAAGTATTTGCTCACCCATCCAAATTATTGGAATCAGGTGTTCCAATCACTTCCATGGCCACAGGTGTATAAATTCAAGCACCTAGGCATGCAGACTGTTTTTACAAACATTTGTGAAAGAATGGGTCGCTCTCAGGAGCTCAGTGAATTCCAGCGTGGAACTGTGATAGGATGCCACCTGTGCAACAAATCCAGTCGTGAAATTTCCTCGCTCCTAAATATTCCACAGTCAACTGTCAGCTGTATTATAAGAAAATGGAAGTGTTTGGGAACGACAGCAACTCAGCCACGAAGAGGTAGGCCACGTAAACTGACGGAGCGGGGTCAGCGGATGCTGACGCGCATAGTGCGAAGAGGTCGCCAACTTTCTGCAGAGTCAATCACTACAGACCTCCAAACTTCATGTGGCCTTCAGATTAGCTCAAGAACAGTGCGCAGAGAGCTTCATGGAATGGGTTTCCATGGTCGAGCAGCTGCATCCAAGCCATACATCACCAAGTGCAATGCAAAGCGTCGGATGCGGTGGTGTAAAGCACGCCGCCACTGGACTCTAGAGCAGTGGAGACGCGTTCTCTGGAGTGACGAATCGCGCTTCTCCATCTGGCAATCTGATGGACGGGTCTGGGTTTGGCGGTTGCCAGGAGAACGGTACTTGTCTGACTGCATTGTGCCAAGTGTAAAGTTTGGTGGAGGGGGGATTATGGTGTGAGGTTGTTTTTCAGGAGCTGGGCTTGGCCCCTTAGTTCCAGTGAAAGGAACTCTGAATGCTTCAGCATACCAAGACATTTTGGACAATTCCATGCTCCCAACTTTGTGGGAACAGTTTGGAGCTGGCCCCTTCCTCTTCCAACATGACTGTGCACCAGTGCACAAAGCAAGGTCCATAAAGACATGGATGACAGAGTCTGGTGTGGATGAACTTGACTGGCCTGCACAGAGTCCTGACCTCAACCCGATAGAACACCTTTGGGATGAATTAGAGCGGAGACTGAGAGCCAGGCCTTCTCGTCCAACATCAGTGTGCGACCTCACAAATGCGCTTCTGGAAGAATGGTCAAAAATTCCCATAAACACACTCCTAAACCTTGTGGACAGCCTTCCCAGAAGAGTTGAAGCTGTTCTAGCTGCAAAGGGTGGACCGACGTCATATTGAACCCTATGGATTAGGAACGGGATGTCACTTAAGCTCATATGTGAGTCAAGGCAGGTGAGCAAATACTTTTGGCAATATAGTGTACTTTCAAAGAACAAGGTACACAACCAGTCTGCATCCTGTGTGTTTTGTTTCATTACAAAACAGCAGCTGTTATAAGGTATGAAAGCAGCACAATAGGGAAATTTTTCCCCTTTGTCCCGAGAAGCAGGAGAAGGTGGCGGAGGAGGAGGAGGGTGTGGAGGAGGAGGAGGAGGAGGATACGCTTGATTACAGCTCTTCAAAGAACAAGGTACACTAGCAGTCTGCAAGCAGTGTGAGTTATTACATTGCAATACAGTAAAGATAAGTAAGACTTTTATAATAAAGTGCTTTACCAGTAGCTGTACCAGGTATGACATCAGCCCAGTAGGCAACTTTGTCCCCCCTCTCTCTCTTTCTCTTTGCCTACCAGCGGGCCAGCGAAGAGAAAGAGTGTATTTGGGATGAAGAGGACATAATACCACCCTCTAAGAAAAAGGTAGCCTAAATGATGACATCCATTGATAGGTGTATTACATACATACATTACATGAAATACAAGATGTGGAAATTTCAAATTGTGTTTTAAGTAAGGAATAAGTACAAGGAGGCCTGACAACCAGTTACATATAGCCGAGGGGAGAGGTTTATGCCCTAGACTCCTAGACATCCTCCCAGCCAATCAGAATAAACAAGGGCTGCACGATATTGGGGAAAAAATGCATTGCAATATTTTCTCCCCAACGATACATATTGCGATATTGTGAGCCATATCAATTCAGGCTAAAGTCAATAATTACCATTCCGTGATATTAATAATTGAATTAATAAGCAAGCTTCATTACAGTGCAAAAGTAAAACACTGTTGGCCATCATCATAATTGCCGTTTTAGGTGTTCATACAAATTGTCAGCGTTTCCCAAAAACTCCAAGCAAAGTAACGTTACCTCTTTTTGGTGAACATCCTCCTTTTTGTAGCCGAAATGGTCCCAAACAGTGTTCCTCTAAGCTGCGCACCTGTGTGCACTGCTCGCACATTCTCAGTGCACAAGTATAACTATGTAGCACATAAAATGTCATTCACCATTAGGGCTGGGTATTGTTAAAAAAATTTCGGTTCCGGTACCAATACCGATACCTTCACTTCGATACCGGTTCCTGAACGATACTTTTTTCGATACCAGTTTTATAATATCAATTCGAAAAAAAAGAAAATTACACAACATAAAAAAGTACAAATCTTGAGTTTTATTTTAAGCTCTGTTTTTCCATTTACATTTTTCCTCTTACATAAAAAAATAAATAATTCAGTGTCTAATATTCACTGTTACATTGTGAGGACCTTTTTACTTAGCAGTTTTCCTTTAGAAAAATTACCATGTCTGACAAACAAGCCCGTTGAATGGGATCCTACTGACAGCGCACCGCTGGTATGGGGGGGTCTGAGCGGCTCCGACAGAAATATTGAAGGCAGGATGAACTGACTGCACTGATTAAGTTTTCAGGTGGATTTTCCCACTTAAAAACATAATAAAACTACTTTATTCCCACTGATCACAGAAAATATAGCTGCAAGGCAAATAAAGGATAGAGTAGCTCCGCCCAACGCGCGTCTGACCCACTTTGCGACCGCGCAGCCAGAGCAGCAAAGCTTCTTCAGCAGCGCGTCAGAAGCTGGTACAAGCAGCAAAAATGAAGCAGCAGACGAGATTTTGCTGCTCTTGCTGCGTCCAGTTTGAAAGCAGCATGATTCACTCCGCTCTGGCTTTGCTCTGCCCACGCGCTGCTGAGAGGAGGATGGTCGCGCTGGCTGCGGTCCGCTCTTCTTGCAGTCAAACACAGAGCGACTTTCTGCTCTTAAATTATTTCCGTGCACGATGTATTGCATTGTGCACTATTAGCATCAGTCTTAATAAAGTGAAGCCGCACTTTTGACCTGGGGGGCATTTTAAAGGGGTTCCGCGACGCTGCAACCAGTTCACAAAAGATACACATGAACCCTGGCTGTAGGCGTGACCACCTGTGTATTTTTCCTGGATGACGCAATCACCTTAAGTGTTCCAGCCAATCACCGAAACTTGGTACCGAAAGACGAGGCATGTTTCGATACTCTGTAGAACCGAAGCATTTCGGTCGGTACCATAAAAGTACCGAAGTTCGGTACCCAGCCCTATTCACCATAGACGCATAAATTAATATTTAATTTAGACCTAGTCTAATCAAAGAAATGACACTAAAAATGTGCTTTTCAGGACCGTTTTTCAACGTAGCAGTGAGTGACAGGTGTCCAGCCAATGATACGGTCTATTTATGCTACGTAACTAATCATAGCATTGATAGTGCTTTTGTATGTGCCCTTCCCGTACGTGCCGAGCAGGTTAGCTACAGCTAACAACAACACAGCGGAGTTATCCGCCGTTATAGATGTTATAATAGATCATAGAGGTTATAGACACAACCCACACACAAAGCTAAAGTTAAAGATAACGAAGTGTGTGTGTGTGTGTGTGTGTGTGTGTGTGTGTGTGTGTGTGTGTGTGTGTGTGTGTGTGTGTGTGGCGACAGCGTGCACATGTTGCTCGCAGTGGTCCTCAGTTTGCTCTGGGGGCTTGTGAATATCGTTCAGCCCTAGAATCAACCATCCATTTTAGAAATGAAGTTATAGAACAATTAAATTTTGTTCTTTTCTCTGTCTCTTTTCCGTAGACAGCTGCTGAAGTTAGAAAACACCTGGACGAACAGATGTGGGAGAAAAGAAAATTCGACCAAATGCAAAGAAATTTGCAGGAGTTGAGGAATGAACTCCAAACTCTTAAAAAGGAAAATGAACGTCTGAAAGACATTATCATCAATCGTAAGTTTTTCTAATTTTATTATTATTAGCAGGGTTTTTTCAGGAGATGGATTTTTTTGTGGCAGAGAAGTATAAACTTAGAAATTTTATGGGCTGCAACACATGTTTGGAAAAATAAATGCTATGTTGTTAGCTGGTGAGGTAGTGATAGTGCTCACATAGCCACTCATAAGATTCAAATTAGAATTAAAGCTGCAAGCAGCGATGGACGGGCCCTCGCACGTGCTGGGTGCTATTTTGATTTGAGGATTGTCATTTATTCTTGGTATAATTTCATTCTAGATATCCCTCAAATTCAAAGTGACCTCTCCATTATTGCTCAAAAGGTAATTTCTTCTGATTGTCATTGTTTTTTAAAATTGTTTCTCAGGCAGAGCTGTAGAGAATTGTGATGTTGAGCTAATTTATAGTGTTAATTATTTCATGTATTTGCACTTTATTGTATTGAAGTTACTAACTTTATTTTTCTTTTATGGACAAGACTGGAAGGACTCCTGTGGAAGATCTTGATTCCTCCTTGACTTTTGTGCAACCGGTGGGTAACCCCCTCGCATTTTTATTTATTTATTTAGTGTACTGGTTACTTAAACAACTGTATGGATTTGATTATTTTTCGCTGATTACTTTTGCATGTCACTTTAATTTATTGACATGTTTAATGTTTTCCAAGCCCGTAAATAAGAATCTATTGGCTTCCTTGGATGAATAAAAATTGTTGTAGAGTTTTACTACCGTATTTTCCGGACTATAAGTCGCTCCGGGGTACAAGTTGCACCAGCCATTAAATGCATAATAAAGGAAAAAAAAAAACATATATAAGTCACACTGGAGTATAAGTCGCATTTTTTTGTTGTTGCTTTCGCGCGTGCATATAGTGAAATAACTGGCGCTCCGCTCCACTCTTCTACCCCAAACCCCCCTCCTCACACGCACACTCGTCCGCGCAAACCATGTCTTCTTCCACCCGCTACGTGGGTTTGTTTGGTTTGAAAATAACAGGTGTAATGATATACCGGTAAAAATGTGTAATAATTTCACACACAAGTCGCTCCAGAGTATAAGTCGCACCCCCGGCCAAACTATGAAAAAAACTGCAACTTATAGTCTGGAAAATACAGTATGTTTCTTTCTTCTCTAAGATTCCAGAAAGGAGATTGAGCACAGAGGAGACCGAGCCCTTTAAAAAGAGTCACATGGTGACTGAGCTCGTTGGAGAGACATCCCAGGTGTGTGTAACCCTTTTATACCTCAGATTTTTCTGTACTTATTTCACTTAAGGCTCCAACTGAGCTATAAGGATTTTTATGTTGGGATAGTTAGTGGTAATATATAATTTACTTGCCCCACATGCATAAAGTTGTTGAAGTTTTACAATTGTTGAATTTAACAATGTTTTTCTTCTCAAACAAGACTGCATCAAGAGCTGAGACCTCAGCAAAAACACAGGTGAATAACATATTATGTAGTAATACATATTATGTGCTTTGTAGTAGCCAATTAGTGTTATAAGTTTAGGGCAATGATTATTTTGATTCATATCTTTATCATTAATCTGCATTTATAAAACCTATTTACTAGTGGGAAACTAAGCATAAGAATCAATATGAAACATCAAAAGGTTTCTAAAAGTTGCCAATAAATGAATATTGTGATTTGAAATTATTTTTTTTAGATTGAAGTTATAAAGGGCTCTGGAGTGTTTTGTCGGGCAGAAGCATGGAAAGCAGCCCGCCTTGCCACCTCTGCTACTGCCATGGTGCGGAATCTGCTGCTGGGCACCTTTGACCTGGAGACTTTGCTGAAGAGCAACCTAAATGGTACAAAATAAAATGTCCCTAATCTCTTCTGTCTTGGAAAAAAAGTTAGTCATAGTCTGTGGAATAAATTATGACTGTTATGTTTAGTACCTCAAGAAAACGTGATGTGTATATTAAAAAACAAAAACTCTTACTTTCTCCATCTTCATTTTGAAATATTATTTTAAGGTGGGAAGCCAACCAGAGGGGATGGGGAGCAGCTGGTCGCCCTTGACCAAATTAAAAAGGCAGCCATTATTGGTGAGTAAATGCATAATGCGTTGACAAGGGAAAACAAAACTTTAAAGACTTTATTTCACCACTTTAACCATAGCATACGTGTATCAATGTTTATTAGGCATCAACATAGACTGTATAAGGTAAGGCACCCATTATTTTTACTGTACCTGCTTAGCACCTATAATACTAATTCATCGTTTGCTCACTTCTTGATCCTACCTTTTGTCTTCTTAAGCCACATTTCTGGGGTATTGCACTGTAAGGTGTGTTGTCCTCTATTTTGTAGGACATATAGTGTTGCAAATAACTCCATTGCATGTTGTCGTCTGAAGGGTTAATAAAAAATCATATTCACCCCTCCTTCACCCTTAAACCATTCTGTCCTGTGTTTGTGCCTTAGTTTGTCTTTATCGGTAATGGATTTGCTTGATTTTAATGCGTGCCTTATTTCTCTTTGAGTAAACCTATCATGGCAGCTCGCCAGTGGAGTGGGTCAATGGGAGGCCATTGTAAAGTATTTTGGGTACGGTTGGGTGCAGGAAAAATTCTACAAAAGTGCAGTTTTGACAACGATATATGTTTACATGTGTAAAGTTTCTTACATCAGATTAAAAATTTGAGGGATTAGAAACTCTGAATCACTTTACATGTTAACAAATAATCCAAAGTGCATATGCATCAAGCCTTATTCAGAATAATAGCATGTGATGTTTCCAATCAGAATTCATTTTAGATTTAGAGTCCAATCAGAATCTTTCAATTGACATGTTTACATGACATAGGCTACGTTCACACCGCAGCCTGAAGTGACCCAATTCCGATTTTTTTGCCCATATGTGACCTGTATCTGATCTTTTTATGACAGTCTGAACGACACAGATCGGATTTTTTCAAATGCGACCCAGGCCACTTGGATATGTGGTCCTGAATCCGATACGTATCTGATCTTTTCAAATGCGACCTGTGTCTGTACGGCCAGGTCGCATTCATCCGACCTACACGTCATTGATACTTGACAAATATTACTAAACGTTACTAATCTGCGTCCTACTAAGCGGAGGCGGGAAAAACTAACAACCATGGCGGAAGATAACACAGAGAGCAGTCAATGGAGAGAAAGTGAGGTTGCTGACTTAATTCATATTTAGAAAGCTCGATTCAGACCAAACTCGAAGGGTCTTACCGGAACCGGGGGAGGGTCTTTCTTTTTGATCTTCTTAAAAAGATTTCGTTCGTAATGTGCCTGCTCCTGTTGGAGAAGAACTTAAAGAACGCAATATACGCTGCGGTATTACGAGTCATGTTTACTTCCGCAAACACTGAGGACGCTTGCTACGTGTGACGTCATCGCGTCCTCGAGTGCGCATGCGGGACACTTCGGTTGAACGCTTTCAGTTCACACAGTAGATCACATACAAGTCGCATATACTTGGAAGTGTGAACGGACACGCAAAAAATCCGATTTCACAAAAAAATCGGAATTGAGCATTAAGGCCTGCAGTGTGAACGTAGCCATATTTTTTATCATGGTGAGCCCTTTATCCAAAATATGTGTCCAATTGCAGCAAGCAGTAAGCACTTTGGGTTCCTGATGAAGTGGTATTTTAATAATATTTTTTGGTCTTCTCTAGATGCTACATTGAAGAAGTGGCCTGCAGTCAGCCGAGGGCAGCTAGGCACATCTATTAATTCAAAGCTCACAGAGCTGAGAAGATCTACAAGATAATTTCTTGGGGGGTATTTCTGTAAATTTTTTTGTTCTTGTACTTTGATTGTTCTTAAGTAATAAATAATGTTAAATTTCTGCATTTTGGGCTATTATTTATGTTGCCTAGTAGCTATGGATTTTTATAATTTTGCTAATACATAGGTAAACAAGTGCATATATGTGTGGATTGATATAGGTAAACGTATCAGCGGATATAGCTACATGTATGCACATGATCTTCACATATAGGTACATGTATGCACGGATATAGGTACACACATATATGTACATATATTTACATATAATATAGGAAAACGGCCAATTTTATATATGTACATATATGTGCTATTTCATATATGTACATATATGTGCTATTTCATATATGCACATATATGTACATATATGTGCTATTTCATATATGCACATATATGTACATATAATATAGGAAAACGGCCAATTTTATATATGTCACATATATTTAAAACCTATATCAAAACCTATATTAAAACATATATGTTTATATAGGTTCTTTCCATGTGTCGTGGCAGAACTTGCTTAGAGCACGGTCTGATCATGTTAATGATGAAAATGTTTTCAGTTTAGCAAACCCGTTAAAATAAGTGTGTTTGCCTTTAATTAGAGTAGATATTTATGTTTATTTAACTCTTAAAATGAGATAATTAGATATTACTGCATAAAAAAAGATAATTGAATTCCTTTTTTCCTTTTTTGATTGCAAATATTTTATTCAACTGGTAAATTTTCTTAGTTACCCTCCAACTGAAGGACAAATAGACATTTTCAGAAAAAATGACTTATTTATATGCTTATTTATATAAATGAATCATAAAGAGTCTGTATTACATAAACATGTTTTATTAAATGGGATCATTAATTAAAGTAGAGAATTGCTTCATAGATCAGAGGTGTCAAAAGTATTCATGTTTAAAAACACTTCTATAGAAGTTAGAGGATCAACTTCAGCTTTTTACTCCAGTAAAAGTGTAAAAGTACCATTTTAAAAACTACTTAAAGAATAAATTAAAAGTAATGCAGGAAAAATTGTCAAGGCCAGAAGCTTTACTGCTCTACCCTATTAAAGGAACGTTTTTCTACAATTCCTGATGATAACTTCCTTAGACTTCATTTTTTTAGTTTTATAACTAATGGTAACAGAGTCACATTTAGCTTTGCATCATCTTGATAAACTATTTATTTTGGTATGTGGTGAGCAACAAGTTGCAGCAGCACCAAGTGCAACTACAAAGAAATTAATTGTCTGGATGAAACTGATTATTTTGATGGTTTTTATTTATTTTTTTGAAACACCAACAGGAAAATGGAGCTTAAATGAAACAAAACTACTGCTTTTATTTTTAAAATGGCAGAAGTAGAAGTAAAAAATTTGTCTAAAAAAAATTATTAATTTTGAATGGCTGATACTGTACTTCTACACTGGAAAAAATTGAAATCTAGATAGGTCAATTTTTGTTAATATAAGTGCATTTTTTCATGAATTGAGGAGGTAAGTGAGACACTTTGTCAATGGAACAAGACAACTTAGATTTAAAAGAAGAAAAACAATTGCGTTGTTTCAAGTGCATATTATCTAATTATCTTATTTTAAGAGTAACGAATACTCATTCTATTGGCAAATTATCTTATTTTCTAGTCAAAATAAGGGTAAATACACTTAATTTAAGAAATGTTTACTTATTTCTAGATCGTTTTGCAGAAAGTCGTCTCCTCCTCATGATCACCTCATGATCACACAAAAAGTGTTTGTTTTTTTTTATCTCCACAAGTGTTCTTTTGCTGAAACAATAATGGGACACGCTTCACTCCATATAGATGGAACCATAGAAAGAGTCCAGCTAAATCAGAATCTCTCGTATGTCTGTGATTTTCCTGAGATGACGCTTCTCTCTTAAGGGCGGGTTATGCTTCTGCAACCGCACACCTCAAATGTGGCTTGGGTCTGGTCACAAACCAGTTTTGCTGGTATGCTACTGCACTGTTGGTCTGGTATTTCTAGGGATGCACAGGAGTTTCCCGCCAAAGCGCAAGGGGGAGCCTATTCGAGAACTAGGGAGAATTTCGGCGGATGGTCACTAGAACTTCGGCACCGCAGTAAGGAGTGTTTATCTTCCAAAACAACAATGGTGCATCTGCAAGATATCATGTTCACGGAGATGGATCTAGAGTTGCTAGACATCGAAGAGGATTTATTTATTTTTTATAATTTGTCTGAGGCATCGTACAATTGGTTGTACTTCCGAACCTCCTCGATCAACCTTTTGTCGTTGTTGTCCATTGTTGTTATTACCCCTCGGTTTTTAATAATGGCACGCCCCGGCACAGAATCGAGAAGGACGACCACAAAGACAGCTGGAAAGGCATACCAAGGACCAATCACAGCTGCTTTTTGTCTGCGCACTTCCGCTTGAGGTCTGCAGGTCACGGCTTACCGCACCGTGACGTCACTGCTGGAAGATGGCAGGAGGGAAGGGTTACTATATTTGGGCAAAAATGGCCGCTCCCAGACTCAGTGATCGCAACGAAAATTATTATTTATTATAATTTTTAAAGGTATTCACCTTTGGGGAATTTACTTGACACACTTGGATTTTGGGAAGTGGATACGACAAATGATAGTCTAAATAGGGCTTACAGATGCAGGAAACAACGACAGACGTTGAGGTTCATCTCACTGCTAAGCAGAACCATCGCTGGAAATCACGTGCCGCTTTTATGAATGTCTAAAATTTTCTGATTATGAAGGCTGACTGTAAGGAGATGACGTGGTCTGCTCATGCACTCTTTGTTATCCGAGAACCGAGCCAGAACTGAACTGTGCCGAGCCCTACTGATGAACTAGTACCATGTTAGCGATGTATGTTGTTTCTGGTGTGGTCCGGTTCAGTTGTGCGTGCCAATTACACTCAACGGTTATCTCGGTTACTGTGCTCGGGCTGATCTTGGCATGGTTTCTAAAGGGTAGTGGAAATGGGGCTATAGTCACCTGGTGACATTGGGATTTAACCTGGGTGTCGTCTTTATAGTTATGCTACAGTAACTTATGATGTTGTTTGCTATAATTTGAGCCAAGGGGAGCATTTAGAATGGAGCCTTCAGGAACCCCATATGTGATGTTTCTGGTCTCTGATTTAAAGTTTCCTACTGAAACATAGAAGTGTCATGATGGGTTTGGTTCCTAGCCCATATGCAGAAACACTCGGAAACAGGAGAAAAAGTTCAAAGGTTTATTGAATAAACAGGTCAGGGGGTTATCAGATTCAGGACTGGTCATGACTGGTTTCTCTGTTCAGAGATTCAGGCTGAGTGGCAGAGGAGGGGAACCAGGAGGATCCAGAGGCTGAAGGCAGGCAGAGGCAGGGCAGAGCAGTTACTCTTACTGAGCAGGTTCAGAGCTTCTCTCTCAGCTCTTATTGAGAGCGAGCAGGCAGGTTTCAGACTAGGTTGGATTTCCAGGGTTCTCCTGAGAACGGACAGCTTGGTTTCTCGCTTGAGAAAGTCTTCCAGGTTTCAGGTTTCCAGGCAGGTTCTTCCTGAGAAGCAGAGAGGACAAAAACAGATTAGGTTCAGATTCAGGCTTCAAGGAAGTCAGAGATTCAGACAGGCTGGTCGGCTAAGGTTTGCTAACCATAACTGGCTTAACACTCTGGCGTCGGAGTGTTGCTCTGCCCCTCCTTAAATGCCGGTCTCCTGATGAGCTCATGAGCCGCAGGTGTGGTAGTCAGCTCCAGGAGACCTAGAACGCCCTCTGCTGGAGAAAGGTGGACAGACTTCCAGATCCCAACAAGAAGTCTACGGAAGAGGATTAGGGCCACTGAAAAAAATAAAAAAGTGAACTACTTTTTAAAATTTTATTTCAGTTTAATATGGGAAAAAAGTCAGAATTCTGACTTTGATCTCAGAATTCTGACTTTTTTCCAGAATTCTAACTTTTTTTCTCAGAATTTTGAAATAACAAACATGTTAGTATTAAGCCGTAGCCATGTCTGTTTTAGAGACTAGCTCTCTGGTTCTAATCACCTTCTGCTCTTCCATTAATGAAATAGCATCACCGGGGACCCCTCAGGCACGTCCGACATTTTCCACCAATCTGTTACTGGCTCTCCCAAACAACTCACATCTTTCTCAGTGAAGCTCAGTGCTCCACATCTCTTCCTTCATGGTGCCCATCTACATTAAGATCCGTAATTCCAAGATTAAATCCCATTCTGAGACAAAAAAGTCAGAATTCTAACTTTTTTTCCCATATTATGACAATATGAAATCTAAAATTCAGTTAACTAACCTAATCCTCTTCAGTAGAAATCCCTAGAGGTAGTGTTGGTCAGCTTTTTTTCTTCTCCATATTCTGAGCGAAACCAAAATGGCACAGCGAACTAGGAAATATCCACTGACGAAAGTTTGTTCTTATTTTAAAGCAAAACAAATTAGTATACTAACTGTGTATTTTGTTTGTAGCTTTTGATGCATCTTTGTTGCATGTGTTAGTCCATGTGTAGCAGGATGGGCACATTTGTGACCCTGACGGAGGTGTTGGAGGCGCGGGGTTCCCCCCTGGAAGAGGAGGAGGTCTGGTGTCTGCTGCTGGCCACCACTGATGCCTTACTGGAAATCTCTAAAAAAGGTGACGACGTTAAGGCCCCTTCCATGACATCAGCTGTACAGAAAACGGCTGAAATAGTGAATTAGATGAAGCGTGCATTAACAGCCAGTGGTTGATCAGTGTCTCTTTGTGTTTAGGTCCAGGTAACATGTGCAGTGTGTTGAGCCCTGGTGCGGTGCTACTGTCGGCCAATGGGAGCCTGGCCTTCAAGAGCTGCTCCCGAAGTGAGGACGTGATCTCGTTTACAGCCCCAGAGGTCCAGCATGGCCACGCCCCTTCCACCAGGACCGCAGCTGAAAAGGTCAGAAAACTTCCCTTCGGCTCAGAAAGGCTGAAAAACTTTGAATTATCAACCTGGACGGTAAAAAAAAATACAGTGAGCAAGATTTTCTGTCAGCTTTTTGGGTTCTGATCCGATTCCAAAAAAGATATAAAATTCAAATGTGTTGCAGTTAAAGTAGCATATGATATACAAGTCAAATATTTGGCTTGGTTTTTGAATAGGGTTGCAACTAATGATTATTTTTATAATCAGTTAATCTGTTAGGTATTGATTGATGTAATGATTAATAATCATAAATCAAAAATTGGATTTTCCAGAGTTTGACCAAGGAAAGCTAAAACTGCAGCACCTGAGGAGTTCTGGACAAAGAGATAGAATATAAACCTATTTATTGTACAGCGTTTGATTGATTAGGGCTGAGAGAGGCGGGTTCTAAAGACGGTATACTTCAGTTCCTGAATGAATGGATGAATATTACAATAACCGATTATTCACCATTATAGGGGAGTGGTGGCCTAGTGGTTAGAGCCCTGATCTTGGCTTCCGGGGTTTCTGCATTCAACCCCCTCTCATTCCCACAGATTTTCACTCTGGGTCTCTGAGCGACACCCTTTACCTCAGACTGCTCCCCGGGTGCCGCACAATGGCTGCCCACTGCTCTCCAAGGGGAGGGGTTAACTGCAGAGAGTAAATTTCCCCACTGTGGGACAATAAAGGGATTTAGATTTACATTGGATTTAATCCAATTCAATTCAGATGTCCAGATGCTTCAAATGAAAAAACAAAACAAACCTCCCAGCTGTAACTGTAACATCTGTCACCATAACTAAACTTCTCATCAGCAACATCAGAAGTGGAGGCGGTGGAGGAGTAGAAATACCGTGGCGTTCACCTGGAGAACAAACTGGAGACGCAGCCGTGAAGCGAGAGACAGAGCAGACTGGACTTCCAGAGGAAGCTTAGGTCAGGGGTAACCAATAAAAAATCAGCGGGGTCCGAATAAAGAAAATCATCAACCAGTATTATAATCTGTTACTTTAAACAGAATTTAAAAAGCAGGTTTTTATGCATCCATGTCATATATAATTATTATTTTTTATTTTTTTTTAGATTTTACAGCACTAGTGGCTCGTTTTTATGGACAGTAGGCTGGCAGGAAGGGGGAATGAGAGAGGGGGAGAGACATGTGGCAAAGGACCACAGGCAGGAAATGAACCCAGGTCGGCCGCGTTAAGGACTACGGCCTCCATACATTGGTCGTGCGCACTAACCACAGCTCGTCCCAATACATCCATCCATTTTCTAACACGCTTAATCCCAAGTGGCGTCGTGAGGGGTGCTGGTGCCTATCTACAGCTGTCTACGGGCGAGAGGCAGGGTACGCCCTGGACAGGTCGCCAGTCCCAAAACATTGAATTTTTAGATAAAAAAATAAATTAGTGCTGTCAATCGATTAATTTTTTTTAATCGCGATTAATCGCATCAATGCCTAAGTTAACTCGCGATTAATCGCATTTTAATCACACAGTTTTTTTCTGGTCACAGACACTGATTTATGCCATATAAACATATGGCAAGAAGATGGGGAGGCATGTAGCAAAAAATAACAAATATGTAGCCAAAAAAAGGCCCTGAAAACAGGCTGATGTAAAAGACAGTCTTTACAGTTAATACAGTCTTTTGAACAAAGACAAGCATTTTACCCTACTGCTATAAAATGTAGTAGAGTTAACATTAGATGTTAATTAACCAAGGTAATAATGAACAATTTTCAATCAATACATCAAAATCAATAGACCGACATCACTATATGGAGGTAGTCTATGCTCTAGAAAGTTACTTTTCAGCCTCTTAACAAAAATTAGAACACACACACACCCACCCACCCACACAGAGACACACCCACACACACACACACACACACACACACACACACACACACACACGATACTGACCTGTGGCGTACACAGACAGCAAGAGTGCCGTAGCAGATTCCATTTCACCTCAGTAATCTGTTTTCTCAGCGTATTTCAGGTTGCTATAGGCACCAAACACTCAACTTGTTGGGAGCTGGAGAAATTCCACCTTTCTCCAGCAGAGTCCGCCGTGGATCCTCTGAGGGAGCCTCCTGCTCAGCTGCAGCTCATCAAGATCATCAGAGGATCCACTACTTAAGCTGTCTTCAGACCTTGCCTCAACGCCGCAGTGTTGTTCCAGTTGGTCAGCGCTTAAGCCTAGATCCTCAGTGTAAACTCTATGACTTATGAATCCAGCTTGGATTCTAACCATTGTCTCTGTCTTCTAGGAAACCTGTGTCTCCTCAGTGAAAGCTCAGGAAGAGCTAACCTGCCGAGCCGACCCTCAGAGCCAAACCTGAAGAACTCTCAGAGAACCTCCAAGCAGCTCTGGACTAGAGCTGGGAATCCCCAAAGCCAAGGTCTGTTCATTGTAGACGTAAGACGCTGAAGCAGCAAACGGACTCTGCTGAAGAACTCTTCTCCAGATCCAACAGAGACTCTCCCAAAGCTAACCTCAAGAACCCTCAAGGTACAATCAGCGAACTTCAGGAAATCAAACCTCTGTTGGCATCCCTAACTGTACTGTCTCTCACGCAGACTCCGGTGAACCAGTATCCAGGCCCCGAACCCGAACCAGTACAATCTGTGTGCTTGTGCTTAAATAAACTTGTTAAACTTTCATCCCTGTGTCCGTCAGTGGTGTTCTGCATTCTTGGGTCGCTTTTAGTGAACCCATCATGACAGAACACTGCGGCCAAACTCAAGGCCCAGCAGATCACCTCACCCGTCGACTGGAGGAGCAGGATGCCCAAATTCAAGGACAAACCCAAACGCTCCATGAGTTATACCGCCTGGTAGACACTCATAACCACATGCTACAGAGCTGTGCTAATTATCTGAACAGCGTTAATGCAGCACAACAACCATTTCCGGGTCCAGTTCCGCCTCCGAGGTCACCAGCAGTGACGTCATCAGAGTTCTGTCCTAGTCTTCCAGAAAGATTTTCTGGCAACATGAAAGATTGCAAAGGATTTTTATTTCAATGTCGATTGATTTTTCAGAACTCCCCTGGCAGCTTTTCCACGGATTACAAGAAGATAATTTTCATTCTCTCACAGTTAACAGGAAGAGCCTTGGAATGGGCTCAGGCAAGATTTGCCGCTTACGATAGCTTAAACTGCTACTACTCTGATTTCATCTCTGAATTTACCCAGGTATTCAACCAAGAAACTGACCAAACTATTGATTCCAGAGCTCTTTTCAACTTAAAACAGGGAAACTCTTCGGTGGCTGAATTTTCCATTAACTTCCGGGTTAAAGCGGCAGCTTCCGGATGGAACCAAAGCGCTCTAAAGGGAGCCTTTTTCATGGCATTAAATGAGCACATTAAAGATGAGCTCGCAACCCTCGACGAACCTGCTACCTTCGAAGATCTAATTCGCCTCTCCATTAGATTGGATAATCGAATTCGTGACAGAAACAGTTCAAAGAAGCAGGGTACACTTTCTTCTGCCTCACATAATGTGACTGTTTGTTCTATCTCTACAGAGCAGATGCCCATTCAGAGACCTAAGTCCCAAACTCTACCGTTGCCTATTCAGGCCTCTCATTCGAGCGAAAGGGAAGCCGAACCCATGCAGGTGGGACACACTAGGCTCACTCCTGAGGAGAGGCAAAGGCGTTTTCTAAGCAAACTATGTATCTACTGTGGTGAGAGTGGACACTTCATCGCTTCCTGCCCGGCTAAATCAAAAGCCTGGGCCCGCCAGAGGATCTGAGGCTTCTGACGGGCCAGATAAACACTAAGAAATCTCCTCGACTGTTACTTCCTGCCACATTGTTCTGTGCTAATCAAAACCTCTCTTTTTCTGCATTCATCGACTCAGGCTGTGAACGTAACCTAATCGATTCTAACCTCGTCCAGCAACTCCAAATTGAAACCATTCCTCTGACTCAGCCTCTCAGTGTATCCGCTATTGACGGAAAAAGACTCCATCAAGTTACCCATCAATCTCAGCCCCTCGAGTTACTTCTATCAGGTAACCACCGAGAGACTATAACATTTTTTGTTTTTCCCTCTGCATGTTCCCCGCTGGTGCTTGGTTTCGTATGGTTGGAGAAGCATAATCCTCACATTAACTGGACTGAACCTCACCTGGAATCATGGTCCATCTCATGCCATGAAACATGCCTTCGTTCTGCTGCCCCCTTGGTGGGGTCTCCTAGAGGTGGGGGGGAGATGGACTCTCCTGACCTTTCTTCAGTTCCTCCTGAGTACCATGACCTAGCCCCTGTCTTCAGTAAGGTCAGTGCGACGTCCCTACCTCCACACAGACCATACGATTGCGCCATTGAACTTTTACCTGGTGCTCCTCTACCCAGCAGCAGATTGTATAATATTTCCAAGCCTGAAAGAGAAACCATGGAAAAATACATCAACGAATCTCTAGCTGCAGGAATAATCCGCCCATCTTCCTCTCCTTTGGGCGCCGGGTTCTTCTTCGTGGGGAAGAAGGATGGTTCCCTGAGACCATGTATTGATTACCGAGGTTTGAACCAGATCACAGTTAAAAATAAATACCCACTTCCTCTCCTCGCTTCTGCATTCGAACCCGTACAGGGAGCCACGGTGTTTTCGAAACTGGATTTAAGGAACGCATATCATCTCCTTAGGATCCGAGAAGGGGATGAATGGAAAACAGCCTTCAAAACACCCTTGGGCCAATTTGAATATTTGGTAATGCCCTTTGGTCTAACTAACGCTCCAGCCTGCTTCCAGGCCCTCGTGAATGATGTTCTCAGAGACTTTCTAAATGTATTTGTTTTCGTGTACATTGACGACATACTCATTTACTCCAAGAACCTTGATGAACACAAGTAACATGTCCGCCTTGTTTTGCAGAGACTACTGGAGAACAAGCTGTTCGTGAAAGCCGAGAAGTGCGAATTTCACCAGCCTTCAGTCACCTTTTTGGGGTTTGTGCTCGAGGGCGGCCAGGT